CTGCGGGCATGCGTTCTAGACTTCGGTGGTAGCTGGGATACCTACCTTCCCTTGGCAGAGTTTTCCTATAATAATAGCTACCACGCCAGTATCGACCAGTCTCCCTTCGAGATGCTTTACGAGAGGAAGTTAAGGAACCCAATATGCTGGGGTGAGGTTGGGCAGAGAGTCATGGGGAGTACCGAGGTGGTACTCAAGACGACGGAAAAGATCCAACAGGTCCGGAGTAGACTCTAGACGACCCAGAGTCGGCAGAAGAGGTATGCCGACAGACGCCGATCAGACTTGGAGTTTCAGGTCGGGGATATGGTCCTTCTGAAGGTGTCACCTTGGAAGTGTGTCATCAGCTTCAAAAAACGGGGCAAGATGGGCCTTAGGTATATCGGACCTTTCAGGGTGGCAACCCGGGTGGGAAAGGTAGCATATCGGTAGGACCTTCCAGATGAGTTTAGACAAATCCACAACACTTTTAATGTTTCGCAGTTGCGGAAGTGCATAGCCAATGATTCCACGGTGGTTCCTCTAGAGGACATACATGTGGATGACCGCCTGTACCACATTGAGAGGCCTGTAGCCATTCTCGACACGAAGACGAAGGCTCTGAGAAACAAGCAAGAAGTACTGGTGAAGGTGCAGTGGCAGCACCGTAAGGGCTCGGAATGGACGTGGGAACCAAAGGAAAAGATGAAGGGGCATTACCCCGAGTTATTCCCAGCAGCAACAGCAGATTTCGAGGACGAAGTCTAATTCAAGCGGGGGAGATTTGTAACGTCCGAGTCATCAAGTATTTCCCTTCGATTTAATTAAACATAATATATGGTAATTGTGAGAAAGACAGTATGCTGGGCGTACATAGTATACGCACGACGTACACGATCGAGGCACGAAGCGGGGGGAAGCCTTGCATAGGCTAGGAGTACCCAGGCGTACGATGGGCGTAACCTGTCCAGTTGCAAACCCTAAATTTTAGGGTTTGCACCATATATAAAGACATTAACTCCGTCCCAAACCTCATTCCCTCAGCCTCCACTGTCCCTAAAGAGTAGAAATCGAACCCTAAGCCTCTTGCATGCTTTGTGAGCTAATTTGGTGCACTTTTGGGTGATTTTTGGTTATTTTAAAGAGAAAGGAGTTTGAAAAAAGGAGCAAGGACTTGAAGAGAGCTTGTAGTTCTAGAGGATTAGCATCTTTTCTGACTCATTTGAGGTATCAAGCTTCAAACATGACCATTGCATGCTTAGTTGTAGTTGTGGGGTGTTTTATGTGATATTTTGACTCCATAGTTGAGGTTTCTTGTGTTCTGGTGGTTCTAGCCCATAAGAGCTGTCCTTTTGAGCTCTTGGAAGCATTCAGAGTCATAAAAATCGAACCTTGATGGTTAAGCCACAACCATGCAAGTGTTAGATGGTCACAAAGTGAGTTTAAGGACTTAAATCATGTCTTAACCCCCATCCATGCATGCAAAGACATAAAGTTTGTAACTTTATGGTTTAGGACGTGTTAAAGGACCTGGATCTATGTTTTGGACGTAAGGACTTAATGGATTAAGTCACAAAAGGAGTTCTAATGAAACTGGCCAATACGTTGGGCATACCCCTGGTACGCCGCGCGTACTGGGTCAACCTCCCCGAAGTGGTCAAGACCAGCGTATGATGGGCGTATGTGCCAGGTACGCCGCGCGTACGCATGCAGAATGGATAAATGGGTTTTTGGGCCTTAGAAGATTGGGCCTGGATTTGTTGGGCCTCATGACCCATTGTGAAGTAAGGCTTCTGGGCCTAGACGTATGATATATGGTATTGGGCCTTAATGGGCCTGGAAACTTCAATGGATGGACTTGGGCCTTAATTTAATTAGGAGTTGGGCCTTTGGAGAAAGAGGCCCAATAGGCCAAGGATTAGGAGACCTTGCCTTGGTACATGAATGAGAAGTTTGGGCCATAAGGGAGTTCTATTTGGACCCAATAACTGATTAGGAATTTATTATGCTTTAGGGAGAGCAGTTACGAGCCAGCCGAGGAGTACGATTTCGGTATACACAGTTGAGGTGAGTTACCTTCCCGTATGAGTGGGTCGAAGACACCAATGCCGACCCACTAGTAGTTGTTTGTAGTAGAGATGATTGTCTTTGTGATAATTATCTGGTATGCCACTATCTGTTATGTGTTATGTGCTTATTTGTTACGATATTATGTGGTAGTGGTAGGGTGAAATAGACCTAGTATCCGGTTGAAATAGACCGAAGGGGAGGCCAGCACCCAGATATGCTCGGTAGTATCCGGTTGGAATTGACCGAAGGGGAGGCCAACACCCAGATATACTCGGCAGTATCCGGTTGGAATAGACCGAAGGGGAGGGCAACACCCAGATATGTTTGGCATTATCCGATTGAAATAGACTGAATAGGAGACCGACACCCAGATATGATAGGCAATGTATTTGTTGTATGTCATGTGGTATGATGGGGGAACTTACTAAGCTTTGTGCTTACAGTTTTCAGTTTTGGTTTCAGGTACTTTTTTTTCGAGAGGAAAGGTGCCGACATGATCGCAGTGCATCACACTATGGTTTTCCGCATTGTGAGATTCTTAGAAGTTGTACTTTGATGTTGTTTTATTATGACATATTTTGATTATCGACATATTGGTTTGATATGGGATGTCACTATGGGTGTTTTCAAACTATTGGTTTTATAACTACTTAATTAAAAATAAAATTTTTGGTCTTAAATTTTGGGTGTTACAAGTTGGTATCAGAGCCTTTGTAACATCCCAATTTTCAAGACCAAAAAATTTGTTTTTTTATTTAAGTAATTTATCAACCTGTTAAAGTTAACGACATATGGACCAAATCCGCACAAGGTATCCAAAACTGGACCACTGGTACACCACCAAACCTTTTTGGACAAAAACAACATAAGTTTAACAACAACATGGACCATTTCTGCATTTTTGTCTAAAATAATAAAAAAGGTCATTTATATGTGAACACCAAAAGTGGTCATTTTAGTGATTAACTTAATAAAGACTTATAATTCATATTGAAGTCATTACATATCTTTTTATATGTTGTGAACCAGCTTGCCAGGTCGGGCAAGCATTGGTCGTTAGGTGGACCTTTTCATGACTTTGACTAGGTTAGCAACACCATTTATGGGTGGATTCTTATACGATGTTGCAGGTGAAAAATGCATCTTTGGATGCGGTTTATATGAAAACTATTTGGGTTCATTGAAACTTATATAATTTGACATTCGGCTCTGAAAAATATCTTAAAGATAGTATTTTTTTTAGAATATTGTTACTTTCTCGTTCAATTGGTTTAGTTATAGAAACTCTAAGATTAAAGTAAATGGGTTTCATAGTTACAAAATTTTATCATGGCTATAAATTTGCAATTGTTTTGTTGGTTTGCTAGCTTCTTGCTAGTTTTGTTTATATATAAAAATTCAACTATTAAAAAAGAAACAAGCTTATAACGAAATATATTTTATAAAATTTTGTTTATTAATTATTGATTTTCAATGAATATTATGTTTTTTTATAAACAATCATAGAAAGAAAAATCTAGCATCATTGTTTAACACATACTAAGAGCATCCATAACCATTAACCAAATTTCCAACTTTTTATTTATTTGTCACTAGGTGTGAGACCTATGTATTACATGAGTTTATTTAAAAGAAAATTGAAATACAAAATTCAAAATATTTGAGAAGTTTGAATTTATAAAAAAAGTGAGAAAAAATATTGAATTATAAAAATTAAAGTGTTTTTTTTAAATTTAAACAAACAATTTAGATAAATAAATAAAAGAAATTGATGAAACTTTAATTTAGTAAATTTGAAATTAGAAGGAAAGTCCATTAGTGAAATTGATATGCATTTATTATTTGATTTAAATAATATATGAAATTTAGTAAAATAGAAAAACCATAAAATGACATTTAAAATAAAAATTAATTTAAAATAACCATAAAATTACATGTGACAAATTGAATAAAAATGTGACATGTGGCAAAAATATCTTTATTTATTAGAGTAGATATCATTTTTTCCGTTACGTTTATAAAACAAAAAACCTATTTAATTAAAATCATCTCCAATAATTCATAAATTTTAAAGTTCTTTCTTAAAAATTAATTAATTGACCATCATATTTGTGAAATCATCCCTAATAAATAAATAACTTTTTTGACACATGACATGCTCTTCTTCAATTTGACAAATATCAATTTGTGGTAATTTTGAATTAATTTTTTTTCCACATGTCATTTTATGGGTTTTCCTATTTTATTAAATTTCATATAATATTTCAATATAATAATTGCAATAAATATAGTTATAAATGGATATCAATTTCATTAATGAGTCTACCTTATAATTTCAAAAAAATTTAAATTAAAGTTTAGTGGTTTCTTTTGTTTATTTATTTAAACTATTTGTTTAAATTTAAAAGATAAAAAACATTTCAATTTTAATAATTCATTATTTTTTCTTATTTTCTTATAAATTCAAAGTTTTCAATTATTTAGACCTTCATATTAATTTTTTTTTTAAATTAACCCATGTAATATATGAATTTCACAACTAGTATTTAATAAAGCCTCGTTATCTAATTTATTATTAATCAATCCCGTGTAATATTTACAAAGAAAAAAAAACTTAACACCAATATCCAGTTTCCTTACTTTTCCATATATTTCTTTCTTTTCATATTTTCATTCCTTTTTTTTCTTTACTAAAACTTGCAAACTAGGTGTATGTTTTTCTGTTTTATATATAGTTTTTTTAATAAAAAATATATGGCTATCATAATTAAATACTAGTATCATTTTAAAACAAAATAAAAAAACTCATGAACCATTATTAAAGTTATTAATTTTAGTAATTAAACCATAGAATACAATAAAGCTAATGAATTACAATTTTACCTTTTACTTTTCTTTGTCTGAAGGATTTTCCTCTTTTGGTCGGAATGAAGTGTAATTGTGTAAAAGGTGACAGTCCTTACTACTGTTCCTTGAACCCTTCCCTCCCCTCTTCCCCAAAACTCAAGAAAACCTCCATCTACTCTCTCACTACAATTGGGCCAAAAATAGACAAAGATTTGCAGCGGAATTTCCATCTTTCCAAGAATACCCCGCATCTCAAAATCCAATATTGCTTGATTGTTTTCACATTTTTGAGGATGAGATTCAAAAACCCCCATTTCGAGTAATGGAATGAGGGGAAGTGTTTTTTAGCAGATTTCTCATACACCCCCCGTCAACAGTTCAAACCCGTTCTTGCTACAACGATGAGGAAACATGGTTGGCAACTTCCATATCATCCTCTTCAGGTGCGTTTCATCTTATCCATATGCAATTGTTGAAGTTTTTTGTAATAAGGTTAATGAAAATTTCGATTTTTGTTGCTTGATTTCGCAGCAATGTTTTACATCTCTTATGTCTGCCATTATTTTAGGGTTTATGAAGATTTAGCTTTTGGGTGTTTAGTTTCACAGCAATGTTTTAACATCCTAGCTATGACATTGCTGATATTCTTAGGTTTTTATAGCATCTGGGAGTTTAGTTTTGACAGAATTTATTGCATATAGTACACAGTTGAAATTTTCTGGCGGGTTTTCGAAATTTGGTATCTGGGTTTTTTATTTCACAAGAATGTGTTCATCTACTATCATCTCATTTTTAAATTTGTTAAAAGGTTTTTAAAAACTTTAGCCTCAGGGTGTTTGATTTTCACCACAGTTTCTTATATAATTGTTAAAATTTCTCTTGGTTTTTCCAAATTTAACAACAATGTTTTCATCTACTCCCATGTCATTATCGAATTTCTGAAGATCTTGAATTATTACCTTTTGGGAGCTTAATTTCACAAAAAGTTTCTCCTCTAGCATCCACATCCACATCCACATCGAAATGGAATTGTTTTTTAGGGTTTCTGAAAACAACAACTTCTGGGTGTTTGACTTGTCAACAATTTCTTCACCTTTTGAGAAAATTAACTTACGGGAGTTGAATTCATTCGTCGTTTTTGAAAATTTTGCTAAAAGGTGTTTAATTTTGCATCGATTTGTGCAGGTGGCTGCTGTTTCTGTGTTTATAGCATTGGGATTCGCTTTCTATGTGTTCTTCGCCCCTTTTGTGGGCAAAAAGTTGTATCAATATATTGTAATGGGAATCTACACTCCTCTAGTAAGCTCTTTTTATCTCCATCTCTCAATTATTTCATATACTTATTTCCATAACCATTTTCAAGAATTTTCCATTTCTTAATCTTACCAGATTATATGTGCATTTGGCCTGTATATTTGGTGCGCTGGTGCTGATCCAGCAGATACAGGAGTTTTCAAATCAAGAAAATATTGTAAAACAACAAACAACAAAACAGGTGTTAAAAAAGAAGGATCGATAATAGAAGATACAAAAGATTATAAATCTGAAACTGAAAAAGCCACGTCACCACCTTCTTGTTTTATCCCCCTTTTGGCTCTCATTCCTTGTGCTGCCATGTGTCATCAACACCAAGACTCTTCTGAACATCAAACAAGTGACGATGGCATGTTCTACTGCAGTCTCTGTGAAGTTGAGGTGCGTTGACTTTTAAAGTCAAACTAATAAGTTTTCAAAGTTCAAATTCAATATGATTTTTTCAAAATTTGTCATAAATGGAACAAGTATCTTGAACTTCATGATATGTAGTTTACTCCATGAACAGGTTAATGAAACTTTATACCAAAATTCCTACCAATTTTGAATTTCAAGAAAGTCAAAGTCAGCAATTCTAAAACGGGTGTTTTTTGTTTTTCTTGCAGGTTTTCAAGTATAGCAAGCACTGTAGAGTGTGTGATAAATGTGTTGACCGATTTGACCACCATTGCAGGGTATAAAATTATACAAAGATTCAAACACATTCCCTTTATTTATAAAAACAAAATCTAACGTCTTTTTTTTATTTATTTCTGTGTAGTGGCTTAATAACTGTATTGGGAAAAAGAACTATGCAATATTCTTTGCTCTTATGGTTTCTGCTCTTCTTCTGGTAAAGTCAAACCTTCATTGTTTGACCTTGTTGACTTTTAAGTCATATTTTACCACATCTATCTAACACAGGTTTTTAATTGGGCTTGAGAATTGAAGCTTATACTTCAATGGTCAACTGGAATCGTTGTTTTGATAAATTGTATCCTGGATCACAAAAGATTTGATGTAGAAATAGCATCCAAATTAGGAAGCAGTTTCACTTTAGCCCCTTATGTTTCAGTTGTGGTAAGTACTCTAATTCTTCCCAATTTTTATAAAACTTGACTTCATATTTTTATAGTTTGACTAAAAAATTTCTAGTCTAATTCTTGACAGATGGTATGTACTATTTTGGCAATGATCGCAACATTGCCACTCATTCAGCTTTTCTTCTTTCACATTCTTCTTATAAAGAAGGTGAGATTATTGTTAGAGCATTCTTCTTTCACATTCTTCTCAAAATATATAACCTTTTTTTTAATTGTAATTTGAGTATTTTATAAATGTAAAAAAGTTTAGACCTTTTAGATGTCGATTAAGGATGTTTGTGATGATAGGGAATTAGCACATACGATTATATCATAGCATTAAGGGAACAAGAGAATCAAGGATATGGGGGCCCACAAAGTCCACAAATGTCACCGGCTACCTCAATCACCGGATTAAGCAGCGTCAGCTCCTTCAACACTTTCCGGCAAGGAGCGTGGTGTACGCCTCCACGACTCTTTGTTGAAGATCAGGTATGTATTAATTAATCAAATATCGTAATTAATTGAGAAAATATTTATGGGATTTTGTTTTGATTTTGTAGTACGATGTAGTTCCACCAGAAACCAGTTCAGTGAGCTCGTTAGGTAAAAAAACGATAGAAGATCGAGATCCAATCAAGAAAAAGAATCCGACAAGCGTGAAAATCAGCCCATGGACCCTGGCCCGTTTGAATGGTGATGACGTGTCAAAAGCAGCTGCAGAGGCACGAAAAAGGTCAAAGATTTTGCAGCCGGTGTCAAAGTCAAACAGAATCGAAAGGGAAAGGGACAGAAGCTTCGGAAGAAGCAAGAGGGAAAAGGAAGGTTCTAGAAACATTGGGAACGATAGAGTGAGAGAGGAGGGTAGTTCGGGAAATTTGGTGCCTTTGCAGTTTGAAGCTCGTAGTGTATACAGAGCCATGTCAATGTCATCTCCTGATAGTAGTTTGGATATGGAGTCGCCTGATATTCAGCCGTTTATGGGAGGAGGAGGAGATCATGATGTAGGAGTAGGGGTGTCTGGTATGGGTGAGAACCAGGGGATTCTGGCACTCATGAGATCCATGAGTGATGGGTATGATGCGTCTGGTGGGGAAGATAGTGATAGGGTTCCATCCAAATTTGAAAGAAAGATTTGAATTTTTAATTTTTTTTTTTGTTAAATATTTTTGAATCAAGGAGAAAGTTAAACTATCTAGAAAAAAAAAAAGCAGATTCTTAAACCTTTGGGTAAGGGTGCAAATGAGCCGAGTCGAGACCGAGCTTGATCAGGCTTAATCTCAACTCGTTTAAATATTTTAGGCTCGAGCCTGAGCTCGGCTCGTTTCAAGCCTTATGGGAAAAAGTTCGAGATCGGCTATTAATATAACCATTTAATTTAAATTATTTTATATGTATTATTTGTTTGGTTGTATTTATACAACAATAAAAAATTTAAAATAATCAACATAAAAAGATTTTAGATTAGTTGTAAATATCTTTTAGATTAAAGAGGTATTAATGAAAATATAAAAAATTCTATAAAAAATATACTTCAAATATTTTTTGGTCTAAAATTACAATGGGTTAGGATATCTTAGATAGACTAGTTGAAAATAATAGCTGAAAATCTAATTGATAGTAAAAAATATGACAAAAAAGTTACATTTAATAAAACTAACTGAAAAATATAAAATGAATGCTATTTATAAATACATCTCTCACTCACATAAATTATCAAATCCTGGCACCACTCAGCCCTTGTGGCCATGGAGGTTCGCCTGCAGTGACTCCAGGGCATGAGACAAAGCCTCATGTTTGCAGCGGGGGATTAGTCGGTGCGCGAAAGCTGGCCCGGAAACCATCGTTAGGGAAGTTCCCTTTCCAAAAAAAAAATTATCAAATCATGGGTATACACATTATTCATTTACAAGGGTACACAACAATTTGGAGGTAGGTATAAATTTCCCTATAAAATGATATTTAGAAAAATATATTTTTTATAATTAATTAGGATATATTTAAAAAAAAATTAAAAGACCTCATGAAAAGCTACTTTAAATAGTTTTTAAAACACCAACTTATCAGCTATTTTTTTTAGCTTGGAAAGCGTCAAGCATAGCATTTGATAAAAGCTTTTAGTTAGTTTTCACTAAAATAAGTGTCGGAGATGGAATTACGATGCTACTAAAGAATCAAAACTAATGGGTGCCCGCACTTACTTTTTTTGTTGTTTTGTTTTTAAATGCTAATAGCGAAATCTAATCTTGAACTAGTAAAATACTTAAAAGTATGTTGTTATTATGGTAATTGATGTATATAACATACATTTGTAAAATATCCGCATGAACTGGTTCTCTTGGAGAGTTCATGGTATTCCGAATCCGAGCCTCATAATAATCACAACAAAATGCAAGTAACAACACAGAGAACAGTAATTTATACTATTACTTAGCAGAATTATACATGCCTTTGATAATATTATAATCATATTATATACAACATATAAAGCTACAAAAGCTACCATTAGCATACAATCCATACATCAACACATTTCCAGAAACACACTTATAATCTGAAAGTTGTATGTTCATTTCTGACATTAAAAGGTACTTACAGAGCCGATATATTACTAATACAAGGTCAACAACAGTTATAAAGAGGTAAGTTGACAAAAGCAAGAACCTAATTTGTGGAGTAGAATCCACTAACCTCGATCATCATTCATCAAGCTGCGACAACACTAACAACATGAGGGATTTTCCCATCATCAAAAGGCAAGCTGACATACTGACGAGCAAACTCTTCAACAATTTCAATGGCCAATTCACCATGTAAAGCCTTACAGTACATATACAACACAGTATTGGCTGCTGTATTCTGAAGCAATAACACAGTCAAGAGACTAGTACCAATAACCACCTGCAATCCAAAAGGCCAGCTCTTCCATCCATCAACAGCATCGAAATGCATCACATCATTCGAATTCATCCACACCCAAAACCCAATCAGAATCCCGAACAACAACAGCAAAGATAACGAAACGGATCTCATCCCTTTCACTAAGTAAGAACTCCGCCACAGTGGTTCAAATCCCCATTTTGATTCTGCCACAACCACCACACAAGCTAGTGACCAGTTCACTTGGAAATAGATTAGGGAAAAAGCTAGCGCTGCTCCCATCAGAACGAAGGACGTCATAAAGTAATTCGAGTCGTAATCGATTACAAACCCTAGGCTTTCCCCCATCTTGATGATTACCAAAAAGAACAGGAGGAACGTTAGCGAGATAAGAGATAGGATAAGCTGAGCTGCGATTGTGGTCGAAACGAGTGGGAAGAAGGAGAAGATTAGGGATTTCATGGCGGGGAAAAACTTGACTGGTCTTCCATAAAAGCCATGGTAGGTGCTGTAAGTGATTGTGGCTATGGCCCCGAGGAAGAAGATGTAGACAAAAGCTGAATAGAGGAGATGAATTGTCAGGTTTTGACGAAGATCCGGCGGATCGACTACGAAAAACTTTGTAGAAACGACGTAGGATCGAGTGAGGGAGAGCTGGAGAGTAGGGAAAATGATGAGTGAGAAAGAGAGGGGGAGGAGGAAGATGACGGATAAGGCGAGAAAGTGACGGGAATGTGCATTAACGATTCTCTTTGCCTCCGATAGAACGCCGCAAAGGTTCAGTGTATGCGCAGGTGCAGTGGACATGGTGGCAGTACGACGGCGATACGGTGGTATTGCTTTGCACAATGGGGAAGAGTGAAGACAGATTTTTGATTGTAAAAGTTTGATAGAAGAATAAAGGAACCCCGGGGGAATGGGGGTTCGAGTCGATTTGGTATTAATATAGTCAGGGTGTCAGATATGGGATGCCCACGTGGAACAATAAAGGCCACGTCACACGTTGTTCGTATGAGTGTCATTGTCCATTGAGAAAGTTTTCGACTAAACCCTTTGAATGATATCGGTATAAGTTTAAAGGCTTTAGCTCATTTTTGATTATTTAATTTTTGATTTTTTTTTATTTGATCACTTAACCTATTTTTAGTTATAAAAGTTAGTCAAATTTTTTTTATTTGTATTCATTTAGGCATCTAACTTTTTGTTTTGTCACTTAACTTTTGTGTTTGTACTCATTTAGTCACCTAATTTTTAAAATTATGCTTTTTCTGTAGCTTTTGTAACTTTAGTCACCTACGTGACTAATTTTAAAAGCATAATCCAACTGATGTATCTTTTTCTGTACAAGAATTAAGCTAATTCATGCATAGTCCTAAGAGTTCTCATTTATATTTGGCTCTTTGTATGTTGAGATATCAAAGGAAATCCAAAAAAATGGATTTGTATTTCAAAAGTGGGTGATTTGTGTCTTAAACCATTTGTTGATGTTGACTCGTGCAAATATCTTAGCTCTAGAAAGTCAGGTTATGAATATTGTGGTTTTCTCTGAATTAAATAGTTTATTTGAAAAGTTAAAAACAAAGTATTGATTTAGGGTTTAGGAGTTGTTACTTGTGAGATAACTTGGGTCATCAAATTATTTGGTGATTTAAAGTTTAAAAATGTTAAGGGTAAATTACACCAATCGTCTCTCGTGCATATGTCAGAAAGCATGTTTAGTCCCTATTTTCAAAAATTAACTCGGATCGTCCCTTGTTTTTTTAAAAGTTGCACGGTTCATCCCTCATTAATTTAAATTTGCACGTTTGATCCTTTGCGGGACTTAAAAAGACTATATTGCCATTGTTTATTTTCTTTTTGATTGTTTATTTTTTATTAATTATAATATATAGAAAATGAAGTGGGCCTCACACTTACCCACCCCCATCCTCATTTAGTCGGATGCCCTAAATCCTTTTTCTCGTTTCTCTATCTTCATCTGAAAACCTCCCCTTCCCGTGAAGTCAAAATCTAGCCACCGGAGGATATTAAAATCCACTCGCCGGAGGTACTCATTGTCTCCTTCAAACCACCGACGTCGTCCCCTGCACACCACCGATTTCATCCTCTGGAAGTAACGTCGCCATATCCTCCAAGTCACCATCGCCTCCTCATCTGTGTGTTGCTACTGTGGAGATCGATTGTGGAGTTGGACGGACCACAAATCTCCTCTATGTCTGTCCTCCTTCTTTTCCAATCTAAATACCGATGAGGTTGAATGTAGAAATGGGTTAGTTTATTGAAATGGGATGGTGACGATGCAGTGGATGAGGAAGGGTAGAGATGAAGAAGTTGAAGGTATGGAGGATGGTGACGTGTAGGTAGGAGGCAGATGAAGGATGGAGAGAAAAAAGTCATCTGGTGATTATTTGGGAATGGATTTGGTGGATTTCGTTGATCAAATTGCAGTTCTTAGTTAGAATTGGGGAAGAAGATTGGACTTTAGAAGAATGCGACAGAGAACCACCATTCACAGCTAACAGCACTTGTAGTGGGTGGCGATCGAAAAATAGAGAAAGAAAAAGGTTGGTCTCGTCGGAGAAAGGAGGAGCGCCAGAGTTGGGTGGTTGTCGGTTGTGAGTGTAAATGAGAGAGAGGGAGAAGGAAACTAGGGATTAGGGAAGGGGAGGGGTGGGATATTAACTTTTTTTTTTAATCTAAACACTGATAAATAAGTAATAGAAAAATAAAAAAGAAATTATTAAGGGTAAAATAATCATTTTATGTCAATAGGGACTAAACATGCAAGAAAAAACAAATTCAGGGACGGTCCGAGTTAATTTTTAAAAATAGGGACTAAACACGCTTTCTGACGTATGCACGAGAGACGAATGGTGTAATTTACCCAAATGTTAAACATGTTGAAATATTTTGTGATAATTGCGTTGCTATTAAATTGACATTAAATCCTTTTTTCATGAACGAACAAAACATATGGAAATTGATCTTCATTTTGTTACTTGTGAAGATACTTTGTGTATAGTGTTACTTGGTGATATAAAGTTTAAAAATTTTAAACCTATTGAAATATTTTGAGACAATAACTCATGCTATTAAATGGGCATTAAATCCTCTTTTTCATGAGAAAACAAAAATATTTGGAAATTGATCATCATTTGTTCAAGAAAAAGATGTAAAATGATCAGTTAAACTTCTTAAACTTGAAAGTTTGGAGCAACGAGTTGTATATTTTTACTACACCTTTGTTTCAAAAGCAACACAACTAATTGATCCGTTCCAAAGTTAGGATTACGGGTCGTGTTAAAATTGTTAAATATATCTTAAGAATTCAATCCTAACTTTGAAAGTATGAATTTAATTACATTGGTATTTAACTTGGCTTGTTTGCATGAAGGGGTAATCTGCGAGTT